CATTGTAAATCAGTTGGCGGCTATGAAGATGGGGCTAGATGATGAGCTGCAAGCATTGTTGTTGTTGAGCTCATTGCTTGACACTTGGAGACCCTTGTTGCATTCCTGAGCAACTCGGCACCCAATGAGATTGTTACCATGACCAAATTACAAGTAGTTTGTTGAATGAAGAAATGAGAAGAAATTTTTCATACTCCTCCTAGTCACACGCATTAGTAACTGAAGAATGGGGGAGACCAAAGAATAGAGAAAATCATAACCGAAGCAAATCAAAAGGGAAATCCAAGTCGAAAAAGGAAGTGACTTGTTAATATTGCAAGAAGTCCGAACATATGAAGAAGGAGTATCGAAAGTTCAAAAGAGATCAATAAGAAGGAAAAGGTGGTGATGGAAACAAAAAACATCAAGAAACCACTACAGTTGCATCCGGTGACATTATAATCTTTTCGACGTATGGTGAATGTTGTGTTAGTGCAGCATGTGATGATTCAAATTGGGTGATTAATTCAGGAGCATCCTTCCATGCTACTCTACACAGAGATTTCTTTACCATGTACAAGTCGAGAGACTTTGGCTCTGTAAGGATGGGAAATAATGGAGTATCTAAAATTGTTGGAATGCGTGATGTTTGCATTACTACCAATATTAGGTACAAGTTGGTTCTCAAGGATGTGAGACATGTTCTAGACCTTAGATTGAATCTCATCTCAACAGGAATACGTGATGATGAAGGGTATGAGTCACAATTTTACAATGGAGTGTAGAAGTTGAAAAATGGCTCTCTTGTTGTGGTAAGAAGCAATAAATGCTACTCTCTCTACAAGACCAAAGCTCTGCTATCCAAAGGTGAGGTGAACACTGCCTTTGAAGAATCTCTATCTGATTTGTGGCATCAGCGACTTGGTCACATGAGTGAGAAAGATTTGGAGATTTTGGTGAACAGAAATTCTATTCCAAGTCTCAGTCCTTAACCCCTTGTGATCATTGTTTAGTAGGAAAATATCATAGAGTTTCCTTTTCACATGCTAAAACTAAACGGGATACTGAAATACTTGATTTAGTTTACTCTGATGTATGTGGCCCTATGACTGTGAAAACTATTGGTGGTGCTTTGTATTTTGTCACTTTCATTAATGACGCATCTATGAAAATTTGAAGTTTTGCCAGAAAGAAAAAAGATCAAGTATTTGAAATTTTTCAAAAGTTCCATGTAATGGTTGAAAGACAAACATCAAAGTCCTTGAAATGCCTTCGCTCAGATAATGGTAGAGAGTACACCTCAAGGAAGTTTGAAGACTATTGGGCCAAGCATGGCATACAACATGAGAAGACTGTTTCCTTCACATCGCAACATAATGTTGTTGCAGAAATAATGAATCGTACCATAATAGAAAGGGTTAGAAGCATGTTTTCCTTAGCTAAGTTACCAAATGAGTTTTAGAGTGAAGCTATGAATACGGCGTGCTAGTTGATAAATCTATCTCATTCAGTTCCATTGGAAGAGGATGTGCCAGAAAGAGTGTGGACCAGCAAGGATGTATTCTACTCACACTTGAGAGTTTTTGGATATAAGACTTTCATACATATACCTAAAGAGCATCGAAGCAAGTTGATGACAAAACAACCTAATGTGTATTTCTGGGTTATGGAGATGATGAATTTGGATATAGGTTGTGGGATCCCAAGGCCTAGAAGTTGCATAGAAGCCGAGATGTGATCTTTCTTGAAAATGAAATGCTTTCTGATTTTGATAAGGATGAAGCACCAAATAGACTTGTAGATGAGCTACCAGAAGCACAATCCCCTTTACCCATACATAATGATGATGGGTAGCAAGTTCAAGATGAAGATGACCAAGTTTGGGGTGGTGAGACTCCTCAAAATGATGATGTACATGGTGATGTTGAGCAGGTAGAGTAGCCTCCTTAAAGAAGAAACACCTATGGTGAGAAGGTCACAAAGGGAACGAAAAGCCTCAACAAAATATTCATCATCAGAGTATGTCACACTCACTGAAAGTGGTGAACCAAAAAGTTTTAAAGAAGCTATGGTATATGAGAAAAATGAACAATGGAAGAAAGTCATGCAAGAAGAACTTGAATCCTTGCAAAAGAATAAAACTTATAAGCTTGTTGAGCTACCAAAAGAATGAAAAGCTTTGAAAATCAAGTTGGTATTTAGGTTGAAAAATGAAGATGACAAGAAGAAAATGAGGTATATGGCAAGACTGATTGTTAAGGGATTCGGGCTGAAAAAATGTGTTGATTTTGATGAAATCTTTTCTCCCGTTATGAAATGACTTTTATTCACACCATCCTAGGTCTAACTATAAGTCAAGACTTGGAGATTGAGCAGTTAGATGTCAAGACAACTTTATTGTATGGAGATCTAAAGGAAGAAATATATATGGAACAACCAACAAGTTTCTTAATGAAGGGCAATGAGCACATGATGTGCAAGTTGAAGAAGAGCTTGTATGGATTGAAGCAAGCTCCACGACAATGGTACAAAAAGTACAACTCTTTTATGATGAGTCATGGTTTTGCTAGAACCACTGTAGACCACTGTGTTTATCTTAGAAAGTATTTTGTGTCTTCCTTTATTATTCTCATGGTAATTGTTGATGATATGTTTATCGTTGGTCAAGATGCTAATTTGATTGACAGGTTGAAGAAAGAACTGAACAAGGTTTTTGACATGAAGGACTTATGGGCTACAAAACAAATTTTGGGCATGACAATCAAGCGTGATAGGAAGAACAAAAAGTGTGGCTATCATAAAAAAGTGCATTGAGAACGTACTTGAAAGATTCAGCATGAAGAATGCTAAGCCAGTCAGTACACCATTAGCTAGACACTTCAAGTTGAGTGCCAAGTTATCTCCAACTAGCAGTGAAGAGAAGAAGAAAATGGAGAAGATCCCCTATGCATCAGCTGTAGGGAGTTTGATGTATGTTATGGTGTGCACAAGGCCTGACATAGTACATGCCACCGGTGTAATTAACAGATACTTGGCAAATCAAAACAAACAACATTGGGAAGCTGTAAAATGGATTTTAAGGTATTTAAGAGGCACATCTAAAGTTTGTCTATATTTTGGAAACTCATCACCTTGGTGGAAGGTTATATAGATGCATATATGGTAGGAGATCTTAATAAAAGAAAGTCTACTTCGAGTTACTTGTTTACTTTTGTAGGAGCCATTTCTTGGCAATCAAAGTTGCAAAAATGTGTCGCACTTTCGCCTACAAAGGCAGAATATATTGCTGCCACAGAAGCCCTTACGGAGGGGCTATAGTTGAATCATTTTCTTATGGAGTTGGATTTGAAGCAAAATGAGTATCTAGTTATATGTGACAGTCAAATCACCATTGATCTAAGCAAGAATGCTACATTCCACTCTAGAACCAAGCACATTGAGGTGCGGTACCATTAGATTCGAGTTGTTTTAGTTAATGGGTTGATGAAGATTTGTAAAATCCATACCGATCAGAATTTGTCAGACATGATGACGAAGACAGTGCCAAAAGAGAAGTATGAGTTATGCAGAGCTTTGGCAGACATAGGTGCCATGTGAGCATCTAATATGGGGGAGCCCTCCTCATGGGTATGGAGGAGGAGTTGGTTTGGGTGATTACCTTGTGGGGTCCAGCCCCATAAGAAGTGAAAGACAAAAAAAAACCAACAAAAAAAGGGTTAGAGAGGGAGAGAGAGAGGCTTTTAGAGAGAGAACATAGATGGTGTTTTCAAAGACAAAACAAATGGGTTTTTCTTTGGAGACACATTTGCAAGCAAAGATAGGGTTCTTTGAAGGATCTTTGACAGAAGAAATTGCAGGTTTTGTAGCAAAGTTTTTATCACCATTTTAGGCCATTCCATAGGCTATTTTTGCTATCTCTCACGCTCAACACTCAGCTGAAAAACAAGGAACAGTTGGTGTGCTCTCGAGTTGTATCTACAAGGCATTGGAAGACCATTTTTTTGGCGTTTTTTGAGGTAAGAAAGAGATGATTTTTTTTTAGGCTTTTTGAGGTGGGAAAGAGATGATCTTGTTGGTGCTTTTGATGTAACTTTGTATCTTCTCCAAGTTATTGTTGTTCTATCATTTGATTATAAACCTCATTTGATTTTAGTGGATTCCTCTCTTGGATTTGCCCCATGGTTTTTTTCAATGCTAAACCTAATTTTAGTAGATTCCTCTCTTTTTTCCCTTCACAATGAAGGTTTCCACGCTATTCCTTCCTCTCTTTTTTCCCTTCACAATGAAGGTTTTCCACGCTATCCCTTCATGGTCTTCCACGCTATCCCTTCATACCTATTTTCAGTATTTGTAAAACATACAGCAAATTGCCTATTTTTCAGTATTTGTAAAACATACAGCAAATTGCCTATTTTCAGTATTTGTAAAACATACATAGTGGGATATGTTTTTACCTTTGATTCACACATAACTTTGATTCACACATAGAAGGGAATAGAAGGGAAAGGCATTGCTTCCCAACAAAACACACCTATAAATTTTACTAAAAGATGTAGTTCTAGTATCGGATTGTTTGGAAACGATGTTCAACCCTAATTATGAAACTTAAAATTTCAAAAATGAAAACACACCTATAAATTTTGGCAAAAGATGTAGTTCTAGTATTGGATTGTTTGGAAGCGATGTTCAACCCTAATCATGAAACTTAAAATTTAAAAAATGGTGCAAATTGAGCATATTTATAAAAACTTCAAAATCTTAAAATTAGACGGCTAGATAACTTGTTGAACTATTATTAGGATTTAAGATTTTTTCTTTCTTTTTTTCTCTACAGCATTTATCTCGAGATCGAGATAATCAATTAGAACTTTTTCCAACTTGGGACTCACTCTTTTCGACAGGATTTTTCTTACTTATGTAGTATAAGATTGCAAAATTATACCATCCTTTTTCCTTTTCTTGGCAATTGATACGTGTTTTAATGATAGGCTAAACAAAAAAACCGACAAAACCGATGTGAGCAAGAGAGGTGAAATCCCAACTATACATTGCTTGGAGTAATCCCAACTATACATTCCCAAAAACTCCCTTTCCCCCGAAAGGAGAACTTCTCTATTCTGGATTGACACTCACTCTATTCTCTCTCTCTCTCTCTCGAACTTGTACATGATCTTTTAGCAAGTTGTTCTCCTCTTCCAGCTCCTTAGCCCTCTTCTTAAGCGACCTTAGTTCATGTACCATCTTTTTAAACTCCTCTTGCACCATTATTTTCCCTTGTGAAACCTCCCTCTCTTTCTCCACACTTACAAGCTTTGTTGCTAACCTTTGATTTTGCTGCCTTAGGTCTTCCAGGACTTCTTCAGCTCCTTGAAGTTGGCTTGTCTTTCGAGATAATTCAGCTGCCATGGCTTCTTTCTCTTTCCCCAAGCTTCGAAACAGCTTCTCAAGATCGCTGCGGGATTTCGATTTTGCGGAGAGCTCATTCTTGAGCCTTTGGTTTTCACATCTGAGATTATACATGTTTTCTTCTAATCCCATGGCTGTCCTGTGGAACCCAATGAAAATAATCATTTATTGCAATCCTTAAATTTTTCAGTTTTTTTTTTTAATGCGTGTATTTTGTGTGTGAGAGAAAGAGAGCTCCTCAGGAAAACCAAATAATCATTTCTTTTGATAGTATTTCACTCAATGCTTAACTACTCGGCCGAGTCCACTCGTATTCAGCCCTGGCCGAGACGAGTACTTAATATAACTTGGGTATATTAAAAAATAAAAAATAGAAAAAAGTTTATAAATCTGTGGATCAATGTACTAAAAACTTTAACTTTTAAACTTCGCTTATGATATCTTTCAAAATTTTTTATTATTTATGTCATTGCTTTGTTTATTTTGTTCATTATTTTCTCAGTGACTACCTCTTATACAGGATCACAATCTTCAGAAATAATACTTTTTCAATTGAATATCCCTGTTCTTGTGGCAATTAGTGAATTTCTATGTTTTGGTGCCCATTAATTTTGAGATTTGGTGAACTTTTGGGCCAATCCCAGAAAAAAACCCACACAACCCATCAAAAATAGAAAAAAAGAAGAAAAAGGAACAAAAAGAGAGGAATATGAAATGATGAAACTGCACAAACAGCAAAAGAAAAACCACCATGGTATGGAATTTGAAAGATTAGCACCAGAAAATTACACAAGCAATAAGACTAAAAAACCATCCTAAAATGAGAAATAAAAGAAATGATTATTGGAACTCTAGTAAACTATTCATCTAAGAAGAAAAAGAAAGAAATTATCAGATGATGGTAATACCTTAATTGAAAATTCACCAAAAAAAAATGGCTAAGACGAAAGAAGAGCTCTTAAAGATGAGGACCTTGCTTCTTTAATGGAGATAAGGAATGCTGAGATTCCACATTTATATACTCAGCCCGTAAAAGAAAAATAATTCTTAAAGAATGAGATTTAATATACTTTAATCCATGTCATGTTTTTTTGATAACAACGAAATATATTTTTGTTTAATGTTGTAAAGCACACGTGCCATCAAGCAAGGAGTAAGATATAAAAAAACTACATCTTATCTTGGTCGGTGGCATCTGAAGTTTCAATGGGGGTTGAATGAATATTAAAATGCATTTTCATGAGCAACCCAAACGCTCCATGCCACTAACTTCGCCGCCCTCTTCGAATAAAAGTCATACAAGGAGAAGAGGGAGCCAAACATTTGAACCTTTTTTTTTTTTTTTTTTTTAACAAAAAAATTACTGACTTTTATTAATCATGTGCCTTTTTTTTCTTCCAGTTGACAATAGATGATCTTAAAATTTATTTTTATATCTAATTATAAAGTTTAAAGCTTGAAAAATTATGTAGATCGTCTATAAACACTTAAAAATATTGAAAATTGAAGGTCTAAAAATGTATTACAAGATGTACGATTTTCAAGAATTAAAATCCATTTTTTTTATGTTCATACATCAAACTTCTTGAGGTAGACATCATACATTTTGAGGTAGCGATGATCAATTTGAGGATTTTTTAGCATTGAAATAAACTTCTTCTAATGAATTTTTGAGTTGTGCCCTGATTGTTTAATAATTAAACAACCCAAATATTTTGACGATGTGTCTTAATCTGATTGTTTAATAATAAAACAACCTAAATATTATGAAAAAATATCTATCTCACTTGAGCTTTCAAGTAAGATCAGATTGTATATTTATAACACCAGATATACATACTTTTCGATATACATGGATTGCTATGTGGGTTGTGTTGTTACCCAAAGTTTTAGATGATTACGAGTTATCCTTTTGCATTTAAGGCATCGCCCGTATATAAACTTTTTCCTTAAAAATTCAAACTTCCATTATTTTACTTTTTGAAAATGCCTGTTGGTGATTCTATAGTACATCTCAAATTTCTAAATTGAAAAAACCATTCTAACTATTACCTTTTGCCCAAGGGAGTATTGTGTGCCCGCGCAAGAGTACGCTTCATTAACTAGATGGTCGGTGTGAGTCGCTTCACCCGCATCTCGATTTAGCAGGATTGTTTCCTTGATATGTTTGCTTTTCTTGTTTTCCCATGAGAATAGGGGAAATTTGTTAAAATCCACAAAATTAGAGCAATGATCCAATGCAACTGTTGTATCTATTTAATAATTTTCCTATCTCTTTTGATTTAATTTCAAAATATCAATAAAAAACATAGGATTTTAAATGGAAATAATAGAAAAGGTAAATTGTTAAAAGATGTGTACTTTGATAAATTTCTCTGAGAAAATAGACGGACTTGTTTAATATTTTTCTAGCCTTTTGAGAATGATAAGATCTGTTCCCATTTCTTTTGATTTAATTTCAAAATACCAATCAAAACATATATGATTTTAAATCGAAATAATAGAAAAAGGGTAAATTGTTAAAATACTTAAAAGCGATGTGCACTTAGATAAATTTCGTTGGGAATGAGACCATTTGTTCAACATTTTTCTAGTCTTTTGAGAATGATAAGATCCGTTTCATTGGACTATCTAATATGGCATCCTTCAAAGTTTAAGAATAATAATGCTACCTGTATTATAATATGCCCTACAAGGACATAATAAATAAGTCCAAGAACCGTCTGATGTCGATGATAAAGAGTCGGGGCATCATTCCTACTTGCCCCAAAAAAAAAGGGGGCATCATTCCTCTACAATCAACATGTTTTAACACATTTTTTGGGTGCACGAAAGACAACTCACTCATGCACACACAGACGCAGTGCACACAGCACGTACCGATGCAGCATGCATGCATGTACACACACATAGGCACACAAAATTAGACTAACAAAAAAATTAAAAGCTATATATATGCTAAGAAAACAAAATTCCTAAAATCCCCTTGATATTTGGGTCTGGATTTAAGGGTACTTTTTAGCAAGTCTAAATTATTGAGAAATACCATTTCAAGCTTTCATTATCATGTTGGTAAGGCCACACATTAGATAAAACAACAAACAAAAATCCCTTTGCTTGGGGGAATCCATCGCAAGACAATGTCAATTCCTCCATAAATAGTTACTTTTGATACTCTCTTACAAATATAGCAACATTTTTCATGATCATTGGTACAAACATTACCCGCAAAGCAGGGGACAACGCTCAAACCTCTGCACAACAAAGAAAAACCAGGTCTCCACTAATCACCAGTATACATTGGAATTGGAATTGATGGTTATCCCATAATTAAACAAATTTATGCCTAGATAAGCTCAAAGAAATTAAGACAAATAAAAATAAGCAATATACAGGAAGACCAAGCTGAGAGAGGTCAATAATAAGCCAATGAAGCTTCTCCAACAATACCCTTTTTGGCATGCTCATATTCTATGTGCTTTTCGGTCATAGTATCAACACTGCAATTTTGCTGCATGGAAAGCCTTCCATATGTATGAATTCTTTGATGTCCAAAAGCGAAGAGACCCTTCCTTTTCCCCTAGAATCTGAACCGAACCACGACACAAGATATGTCATCCTTGCTATCTCTGTTCAGTGCTTCAGCTATCAATTCTTTGGCTGCCATTTGCGGGTCCTTGATCTTTAAAGTGAGATTTACAGCTTCTTGATTATCCATAACCTAGACAGTTCTCAAAGCCATCAGGAGTCCGTCCAACTCTTTCTCTCTCTCTCTGTTGTGGGTGGGGACACTCGTGCGTCACACAAACTTATACAAGATATTCTAACTTAAAATATTATGTTGAGTTGACATAGCCAACCACCAGTTGACAATCCTCAAGATTATCTGAAATGCCCCAGCCCTTCACTCTGCATATGTCCTTTTGATATATGCATATTCAGTCATTTCATAAGGAACGAAATGAAACTCGCACGAAATGACATGGGGATTCCTAGGTGGTAAAACACAGCAACTTCACCTTAGAAATTCTTTTCTCCCACCCATTGTAAAAGTGCCTAGAGAATTCCTGGTTTTATATGATACTCTCAACATCATCTGATAGACCCTTGTCACCAAATGTTTAAGTAAAAAAATCCATTGCCCACCTCTCAAATTATGAAAATTGTGTCCATTAAAACAAGACACCTGCAATGGGATAGGCACTTTTCCTCATTAAGGGAAAGTTGACTTTCTAAATTCAACCAAAATGAATTTTTTAGGTGTTAAATCAGATCCCCATGCTAGTGTGTGTTAGTGTGTGTGTATATGTATTTATATTGAGTTCATGAGGTGATTTGTGTGGCTGGGTTAAGGTGGGTGGGTGTTGAGGTTTTAGATGTTTCTACACCTCACCCTGGCATATAAAGACTTTCATCCGTACTCTTAAGGCCCTGATTGTGAGTCTAAATACATACATATGTGGGCGCGCACAAACCGAGCAGGGGGGACAACCTTCCAAGCACGCGCGCATGTCCACGCGTGCATCCGTGTGAGAGAGAGAGAGAGAGCAGTACAGAAGTAGAGAAACAACCTTCCATAGGCCATCGCTAGCAAGAATGAGGAGCTCAGTGTCAGCATCAATGTCCACTTGTCGAATATCAGGATCTGACCTTAAATGTGACTTAAGGCTCTTGTCTCCAAAAGCCCGGGAAACAGCTAGCTGTCCATTAACTCTAGGAACATCTCCTGATACAACAATAACAGAGACTTCTCAGTTGAATAATACAATTACAATATTAAAAAACATGCACTCATTATCAAAATAAAAAACACCAATAATCATGACAAATGTGTATAGCCAAAAGATGATTCACTTCAAAGTAGTCTGAAGAACCAAAAGAGAAACAAAGCAAACATAAGAAACCAAAAAACTAAATAACAAGAAAATTGGGTTACTTGAGACTGTCGATGAAAGAAAGAATGATGCTCTACCAACAGTGGGGAACCAGCCAATTAACCACGTAGGGGTAAGTACAAAATTACATCTAGGGAAGAACACCTCATGGCAAGTATAAAGAATACATAGTTCTCAAGAAAACTTGTATTCTTTCAATGTTTCAGATATATCGAAAGAAAAAACAAAATTAACTGATTCATTAAAATCTCGTCTATATATATACATTCAGTGTTTTAAAGTGTGGGATGCGGACACGATGTGGTTAGGGGCCGAAGCATCGATGCGGCTCGATGCAGTCCAATGTGGGCGCATCACCTCCGATGCAGTCATTAAATTTAAAAAATTCCAAAAAAATATAATAATGCATAAAAAAGCATAGGATGCAATTTATGTGAGAGTACGTATTTTAACTTATTTATTTCTCTAGTATATTAGTTGTCCAAGACCCTAAGTCCCCTGATAGTCTGATAAAGAGTAATAGAGTTTGTTGCTAATATTTAATACAATTGACATCATAACATGTAAACAAAGCAATATATTCCATCTCAATTAGCATTTCCAAAATTCCAAACTTCACATATACAATTAAAATTCCAAAGTTCAAACTCCAAATATTCATACAACCACCGGCAGTTTATGAAGACATAAGAAAACAAAAGATAATCAACTTAACTCTAGAGTCCCATCTCAAATCTCAATCAGACGAGTCATATGGTAATTCATTTTGTGAATGTGCATATCAAATGTTTATTACCAAATAATCGAAAGAAATTTTGATTTCTAGTTTCTACTCGGCACTTGAAAACCCTCGAATAGTTGGTAAATCTTCGCCCAAACACCTTCAAAACAAAGCCCCAAGATAATCTCAATCGATAACCAAAATAATCTATAAATGTTTCTAGGAATCTTTGGATTCAAGAAAAATCAAAATAGATTTTTTTTTTTTATTTGGCTTTTGATCATCAAAGAACCTACAAAAGTGGTTCTAATGGGGTTCTTTTTTGGGTGGGTGGGGGTGTTATACAAACACCCACCAAACCATTTACCCCCATTTTTGGGGGAGGGGAAATACCGCTATGCCCACGCTTGTAGGCCAAGTTTTCAACCACAAGCATGGGCTGCATATGTGGATGCATAGCCCATTGCGCTATGCGCCAGCATATACAGGTGACATCCTGCATATGCGTGCGCATCATCCCAAAGAGTATATGGGGTTCAATGCAATGCGCCTCAGGCCGCATAGCGCTTGATGCGGCCGCATACTGCATTACGCAGCTGCATTAAAAAACAATACACACACCACAATGAAATGATGTAGCATCATTATATCATGGCGACAATCCAGAAAAAACTTGATGCCTGCTATCCCCATGTTTGACTCCTTATGAATTTAGACTGAAGTAGCCCTGACAGCTGTCCATAAGGCCGGACTCAGCCACCAAAACTTACATGTCGAGGTTGTCCACAATGCCGGACAGTTGTCCATAATGCCCTGACAGTTTACCATCAGTGTCAAAACTTACACGTAGAGGTTACATCCGTTGCCTATTTTATACCTTTCGTGCCAACTAATTATTATGCTTTCTAATATATCCTTGTAACCAAGAACTGTTTTCAATTGCTTATATTCTTGAACCAAGAAAAAGTTTGAAGTGTACTCTGAAAACCTTATTTGTGAGGCTGGGAACTTATGGTCCCATAAAAATCCTTGGGTCCATGGAAAGCCCATAGGCCCCCTCTAGTTTTAAAAAGTCGAACCCTCACTCCATCCCTACCTTTTTTTCTATTTTAATTACGAAATCTTTCTTTTACAAAAAGTCAAATTCATCCAACAACTAAACCAAAGTCCTCCCCACATCCACTCCCCTCCTCCTCATCCAAGGACACCAGTCTCTTTCCAACCCATCGAGTGAAAAGGTCCATTCTCTCTCTACAATTCACTAACTCTCCTCAACCACCACCTCAACCACCACCACCACCATCACCAAGGGGTGGTCAACAAATTAGGGTTTCTACGCCCCCACCAAGGCCACTATCACTGCAACTACCTGCTACTTCACTCTGTGAATGGCACGTCAAGAGAATTTGTATTTTAGCCAAAAAAATATTAACTCTGAATTATTTGGGATCTACTCATTAGCTCTTATCATTTTTTCTGGTTTAGATTTGGATTCGGAGGATTCAAGCATGTGAAGCTTTTCCTTTGCTGGAAGTAATCTCATTTGTGTTGAAATTCCAGCTTTTTAAGTTCTCATGTAAAAGGAACTTGAACAATCCCAATCTCGATGAGGAATTTGAGGCATAAGAATGAAGATTCAAAGAAATTTATGATTACATTTTTATTAGAGGCCTCTGCAAAAGAGTTAAAGGGCTTAGTTTGCAAAACTGGGATTATAGTCTATGCCGTTATCACCTCATTCTCAAGGTTATCTTTTAGCATTTTCTGGTTGGTTTCATTCTCACCTTGACTGGTGTTTAATCCATGGGGAACAATAGATTGAAAAAAAAATCTTCGAAATTATTCTATTCCAGCAAGAAAGCCTTTTCATCCCTCATCGGTATCATCAATTATCTTCTTAATCCACTGAAGGACCAAAAATTAGATCAGTTTCTCTTTAATCTCTGAGAATTTCTACCTAATTCCCTAAGCAGAGCAAGGAACCTCTTCATTAAAAATCCTCAAATTTTCCAGTGATCTATGTATTCCGATAACTTTTGCGGTAATCTCCACATTTTCCTGTCATTGAGGTCAAGACCTTCTCCTACCCTGGCTTTTCCTCTATGCTCTGCCATTTCACCTACTCTTCTCTGCAACAATAGGTGTCATCTTACTGATTATCTTGCTATGGACGCAGATCACAAGAAACAAGATCAAATTAGACATGGACACCTTTGTAAAACGGTGTACTATCACAAACTAGGTAAGCCCAGCCATGAAACTATTTTGCATATGGAGTAGTAAACGAGCACCATGGCCATGGCCAAGTTCATGTGCTACAATGAGCAGCAACTCTCGAACCAGAGAGAGAGAGAGAGAGAGAGAGAGAGAGAGAGAGAGGAGGGAGGGAGGGAGGGAGGGAGGGAGGGAGGGAGGGAAGGAA